TAGGAATTCGGTATTCTTTACATAAAATTTACACTTCTTTAGGTTAGCCTTTAAGTTACGTTCTTAAAGCTTAGTTAATACTTATTATACGTCCTTAACATGTTAGTTTAGGTCTCCGTCCGTATAGATTAGGATGTCGTCTAGATAGGCGACTACTATCCTATCTAGGTATTCTTTTAGCGTGTTATTAATTATTATCTAATAGGTAGCTAGGGCGTTAGTAAGTCTAAATGGTATAACTAAGTATTTGTAATGTCCGTAGCGTGTACAAAACGTAGTCTTCTATTCTTCCCCCTCCTTTATTTAAATAAGGTTATAGGCTCCTCTAAGATTAATCTTTAAAAACTACTTAGCCTTTATAAGGCGATCTTATAGTTCTTTAATATTCGGTAATAGGTAACGATTCTTAATAGTAATATCGTTAATCTTTTAGTAATTAACGTATAGTCTTAGACTGCCGTCTTTCTTTAGTGTAAATAGAATTAGGTAACCTATAAGGGATTCCGATTTACGGATAAATCCTTATGCTAAGTTCTTATCTAGGTATTCTTAAAGCGTCTTAAGTTCTTTTTCGGATAACGTATAGATAGGTCTAAATGTAGGTTACTTCCCTAGTTTAAGTCTAATTTCGTAATCCTACGGCTAATGCCTAGGTAATGCATTTACATTCTCCTTTTCCTAAAACAAGCGTTTCTATTAGCTATATTATTTAGGGATATTAGAAGGTACGTAACTTCCTTTACTAACTCTCGCTTTATAGCCTATCTAACCTCTAGGATCGGTGCCTATAGAGCCGGTATTATGTTGTTTTAATAATGCCTTAGTTAAGGTAATAGTAACACATGCTTTCTTAGTCTTAGTGTAACCCTTTCTCTTATCTACTACCGAATGCTACTAGTACGTAGGTTACGGATTAACTATGTAGTCGCATCCCTAAAACCTTAACGCTTTTAACCTCTAGTCGATAGTTAGGTTATGTTATCTTAACTAAGGCATACCTAAGACGATGTAGTAATTAGCCATTTCTATAATGTTAAAGGTAATGTCCTTATAGTACGATTAAATAACAAGCTCTATTAGTAGAGTCTCTTCTATAACTCTAGGTAAGGCTAAGCCGTCTATAGCCATTAATTCGTACCTGTATTCTTTCGATTTAGTTACGATCCTAAATCGAGTAACTATAGCTATAGAGATAAAGTTTCCGCTTACTCTAGAATCTATCATTACGTATAGTCGTCTTTTATTAACGGTAATTAGTGTACGGAACACCGTTATTAATAATGTTAACGCTAGGGCTTAGATCGTGTTACATTCTTATTAGCTGCCCTTACTACGAGAATCTACTCTTTTCCTAAATCGTTACTAACTACTAAGTCGAATCTAACTCTCTCCTTCCCTTTTAAGAAAGTATCTAGTCTATGTTCTTCGTAAAGGTATCTTTCGTATAGCGTGCGTTACTAATGTTAAGCTTATTCGTATCGAGATCGGAGCAACTTAATGCTATCTCGCATACTATTATTAACACGTTCTCTTAAGGGAATAATGTATCCTACTAGTATAAAGGTACTACTAAGTAGTGGCCTTTCGATAATAAAAGCCTTAAAGTCGTATTTAACTACTATAAGTCGGTGATCCTAGAATGCATGGCGGATCTAATCTAGCATGTTATTAAAGTTGTAAGGGTATAGGAATCTCTAACCGTTAATAGATAGAAATGCGTCTTCTCCGTGTTTTATTATAATGTTAAACATCTTAGTAAAATAGGATAGTACGTAAGCGTGTAAGGTATAGATGCCTTCTCTTCTATTATATAAGTAGTTATTATTAGATAATTCTTTATCGCTACCGTCCTCTTCGTCGTCGTCGTCTAGTTCTAGATTACTCTTAACGTCTTCTTCTTTAATTTCTCCTTCCTTAAGATTATCCTTCTTTATAATAACGTTAATCTTGTTATAGCCTCCTCTACCCCTTCTAGGTGCATAGGGAAACTATGTTAACCCCATTTTAGCATCGTAATAGACTAGACATGCGTTATCGTAGTAAGCCGTCTAGCTAAGGGTTCTATAGGTGTCTAGTCCTTTAGTTTCTATTAGCTTATTACGCTCTAGTTCCTTTTCTTCGGAACGGCGCTACGTTATGTTAAACTATCTTTAAGGCACCTTATTCTTTAAACGATAATCCCTTACTATATAACCCTTCTAGTTACATGTATAGTAAGTTATCTAACTCTTTCCTTTAAACTACTTCTTACCCTAAGATTAGCGACCTTCGGTAACGTCTAGTTCTATTAGCATAGGTCTATAAGGATCCTAGTACTAGTTATTATAGTTAAACTTCTTTCCTTTATTATTACTATAGTATAGAACATAGCTAGACTTACTATAAGGGGCAACGTTATAACGTCTCTCTATAGCACGTTCGTAAAGGTTATCGTCGATTTTGATTATTATACGGATGAGTTTATTAAGATTCTTAATCTTCTAGCCAGTTCTTATAAGTTCGTCCTTAACGTTTTCCTTTAGGCCACGTCTATACATAGTTATAAGGGTAGAGTCGTCCTAATCGGTAACTTAGGCATACTTCTAGAACTTAGCGGCATAGTCGGATGCTAAAGTGTGTTAACGGATATGTTAAATAAGGCGTATAGTAACCTTATCCTCGTTAAAGACGCTAAAGATGCGGCGGATCTCTTCCTTAAATTTAATAAAGCTAGTAAGGATACCATTAGTATCTCCTTATCCGTTTAGGAACTTTATAAGCATCGGTTTTATCTAGTGCTAGGCTCTTCCTTAGAGGTAGGTAGTTATAAACAAGGTTTTCTTATTAGCTTTAATCAGAGTAAACTAAAAGTAGATGTCTATCTAAGTAAGCTAGTCGTTAAGAGCCTAGCGGTCTCTATAGTAGAGATCGGGCTTAGCGACTTTGCTATCGTCTTAAGAGGTGGTAGTGCGGGTTCTACTAACCTCGCTAGGTGTACCTCTTAGGGTGCTGCTTAATTAACTTATTCTAAGGGCGTTTAAAGTTGTTATAGCTAACTATTCTAGGGAGAATAACTAGTTACGGGGTTAGACTTATAAAGAGGAGTGTTAAGCGTAGTAAAGTAGATGTAAGTAGTAGTGTATACTAAAGGGACTGTTAGAATAACTAATTAAGTTAAACGTAGGACTTCCTAATAATGTCCTACCTACCTATATACTTAACTATGTAATAAGTGTTATGCATGTTGCTCTATATGCTCTATTACTCTATCTACTCTAATAGAATTAGAGGGAGTAAGAGATTAGAGGGAGTAGGGTGCATTAGGCAGCCGCCTACTATAGAGTGCTCTATAGAGAGGACCTATCTTAGCGGAATCCTTAGAGTAGGATTCCTAATATAGTAATAATCGGTAGTGCATAAGCTAGAAGCCGGTACGCTTAATACTAGATCGTAATAGGAACTACTATAGCGATAGTAGAGTAGTCGCTCTTAGAGGCTATCTACGCGTTATAAATTAGTAGTAGTAGCGAATAGAGGTGCTTAAGGCGTAACTAGAAGCTCTTATTATTTATTAAGCTAAGTACCTTCTAGCTAGTCTTGCTATTAAAGAAGCCTTACTAACTAGTAACTAACTATAGCTAAGCCTTATTCTTAATTAGCGTATTAATAACATTAAATTAAGTGCCCTATTAAGTAACTACTACTAGCGTAAGGGCTCTTAGCTTCTTACTATTATTAGCTACGCGCTCTATAAGTAGAGCGTAGAGCTTCGTTACTAAACGTAGGAAACTTAACATTAAATTTGCCTCTATAAGAGTAACCTTATAGTACGTAATAGCACTAAGCGACTTTAAGCTATAGTAGAGGACCTTAACTAGTAACTAGAGGCTATATAAGTTATAGAGTATAGTAAAGATATGCTAAGTTTTAGGATGCTAACGGATTAACTTATATAGCTTTCTCTACGTAGCGTAAGTATCGGTATAGAGGCTATTCTAGCGCGTTAAATTACCCTTAGTAACCTTCTTAATATAAGGTAATATGCTATTAAAGAGGACCCTTACGCTATAGTTAGTAGAGCTAGTAGTAGTAGTCGTTATATAGAACGACTAGCCGTTAGCTATATTAAGTAAAAGGTTAGTAATCCGGTCCTTATTTATAGCCTTAGACTTATTACTAATAAAGTTTAGCGTATAGTTACTACGGCCTTAAGTCTCTACTACTTATTCTACCTCCTTCTATACCTCTACGTATATAGCCTTAAGTAGGCTACTAGTAAGGTAAGCTTATAGTAAAGGCTTAAATTAAGTAAGCTCTTTAAAGAACTCCCTCTAGTAGTTAGTATTAAATAAGCTTAGTAGCATGCTAGAGTAGTAAATAGCCTTTATAAACTTAAGCTCTATATAAGAGGCTCTATTAACTAACGGAGCATAGCTATACGTATTACCGTTCTTAACCTCCTTCTCTTTCTTACCTACGTCTACTAGCTCGTAGTATGCTTAAATAAAGTCCTTTAGTATAGCTATATAGAGGTTAATAATAGCGCTAGAATCGGTTTCTTAAAGTACCTTAACGGCATACTAGCGGAAGCGTATATAGCTAGTTAAATGGACCGATTTACGCTTAATAGATTAGCTAATTATCGTATAGTTAACGTATTAGCTATAGCGTAAGTATGGCTTAAGGTCCTTAGTTACTAAATCGCTAAACTAGTAAGCGGCAAACGACTTTAGTAGTGGCATTAATGCTATAGCAGCGTATAGCTATAGAGAGAGGTTAGAATTAACGATATTTGCCACTGCGGAGAGGTAAGTTATAGTTATTGACATGTCAATGACGTTTACTTACTACTGACGTTATTAACTGTAAATTAACGTCAGTATGAGCATCCCTATTCAAAGGTCGAGGTCGGAAGGCGCGAGTGGCGCTCTGTGTAGGCTTTTAACGGAGCGAAGGGCCATGTAGAGTAGACGCCCACGGCAGTTTTCTCTACACACACCATCCCACGCAGCTCGAGGGCAATGAGCAGAAACGGCGGAGTCATGTCGACACAGGGAGCCTCAGATTCGGTGCAAGAGTGGCTTCGTTTGCGAGCGTTGGCAAGGTACGACAGGCTTGGGTGGATGCAGATCTGGTGGCCTTGAAGCCTCGAAGCCTGACACGACTGTGAGCGCGATAGATACTTTGCTCCCTACAATATCACGGCCGACGATGTCAATGTCGAACGCGGCGAACCAGCGCCGCCGTCGCTGGCCGAGAGCCCCCTCCTGACGGCCGTGACGCAGAATGGCGCATTGCGCATGAACTGCGACCGCGCCTTTGTTTCGCTCATCGATTCCAATACGCAGTACATCCTCGCCGAAGCAACAAGGTCCATCTCGATTCGCGACTCGACCCGTTTCGCCAACCCCCAAGATGCCCTCTTCCTTGGTGTGCAGAGTCTGAATAAGGAGTATGGCATCTGCCCACAATCCGTCGCCATCTTCACCGACCGGACCGGTCGCAGAGCCATCAACACCCATGGCGTCGTCGCCAATACCACTCGCTATGTGATCCGCGACTTGAGGGAGCTCGACCAGTACAAACACTGCCCCTATGTTGTTGGCTTCCCACACATGGTCTCGTACGCCGAGGTGCCCGTCAAGAGCGCCAGTGGCCACATACTTGGAACATACTGTGTCATGGACAACAAGATCCGCGACGACTTCTTCAACGACAGTACCATCGACGTACTTAATGACATTGCAGCGTGCATCACCGAGCAATTGGAGCTTCATGCCATCAGGCAAGAGTCTGGTCGAGGGGTACAAATGATGAGGGGCTTGTCCGAGTTCATCGAAAGCAGAAGAGCAAGAGCAGACAGCACCGGTGCCACATCACGAAAGAGCTCTCTAAACAACATCACAGATTATCTCGAAGGCCAGCAGCAGCAATCAGAAGCCTTGTCATCCTCGACTTCGCCGGATTCTGAGAAGCAGAGTTCTGATGACGCTTCAACTCATCTCACGACCCCACCAACCCCCGCTGAGCATATTTTGTCCTTGTCCAGCCCTGGAGTCTGCGAACCGGCACTAGACATGCACCATAATCCCCGAGCGGGCTACCAAACTATGAAGGACATATACTCAAGTGCCGCTCATCTCATCCGGGACGCCATTGATGTCGAGGGGCTGGTCTTCCTGCATGGATCCACTAACAACGTATTGACTGGCTTCACACATCCTCTATCGGAATCGAAGTCAGCTGCAGGAATCTCTGTCAACAACACGACATCATCGGTTTGCGAGGTTCTCGGAAGCTCCGTCGTACCTGGGGGCTGCAATCTTGGTACCTTGCAGCAGCCCTTGGTCATCCATGATACTTCACTCAACTATCTCATTCGGAACTTCCCCCGGGGTTGCGTCTTTGTGTCCGACACTCAGGGCAATCCCGTGTTTGAGAAGGAGGGTGCTTTCATTGCTCAGACTTACTCTCAGCAGACCTCATCTGTCCCTGTCAAAGTGTCTGGCGAGCTTCAATCGCTGATCCGCAAAGCTCGTTCCTTGATATTCCTCCCTCTCTGGGACTCCATGCAGGAGAGTTTCATCGTAGGCATGCTTGGCTGGACCAGCGATCCTACGCGAGTACTTGCAGAGCAGGACATGACTTGTCTGTCCGCCTTCGGCAACACCTTCATGACCGAGATCGCAAGGACCGAGATGACCGAATTGGCTCGCGCCAAGTCTGATTTCCTCTCCTCAATCAGTCACGAGCTTCGATCACCTCTTCATGGAATCCACGCTGCTGTTGATCTCTTGCAAGATCCGGAAAATGACTCCAAACTCGAGTTGGTTGAAATGATCCAGAGCTGTTCCTCCACGCTCCTGGACACGCTGAACCATGTACTGGACTTTTCACGAATCAACAAACTTACCGATGTCACAATCGAGGCACAACCCCTCTCTAGTGCTGAAAAGCAAGAGGCTAATCAAAATGCCTTCGGAGACATGAGTCAAGAACACCTCTGCGACCTTGTCCTCTCAGTAGTCGAAGGAGTACACTTCGGCCAAGCCTCCCGAAAGGCCACTTTCGATAGGTTACAAAGCACCATCGTCGACCAGGTCGCCAAATCCAGTCTCGCCCAGGAATCGCCGTTGATCAGTCCTGTCAGCAATAAGGTGCCTCTATCACAAGCCTCCGATACTGTTGCCGTCTATGTCGACATTGAGAGCCGATCGGATTGGTGCATGATGGTCTGTGCCGGCGCTTGGAAACGACTGGTCATGAATCTCTTCGCCAACGCTTTGAAGTACACTCGTCAAGGATTTGTCGAGGTATCATTGAAAGTGCTGTTAGACCCCAGGAACCCTACCAAGCGTCGCGCTCATCTCATGGTCAGCGATACGGGCATTGGCATGAGTCCCGACTTCTTGAACCGAAGTCTCTACCAACCATTCGTGCAGGAGAACCCAATCGCTGATGGAACTGGACTTGGACTCAGTATCGTCAAGAAGATCGTGGAAGATTTGCAAGGCACAATTGAAGTCCAAAGCACACAAGGTCTTGGAACGCGCTTTGACGTNCTTTTGCCCCTCCCAGATCATATCCCGTCAGAAGGACTTTTGCCAGTTGGCGGACAGAGACTGGATCCGAAGGGGATACTCAAAGATCGCTCCATCTGCTTGTTATCACCGTTCGGTATGCCCGGGGACGCGGATGCTGAGCTGCGACTTCGACGCACGACAACGATGCAATCATATGTGCGCTTCATCGCAGAAAACTGGTTTGGTATGGAGGTCGTAATCAGCGACAGCTTGAGAGCTATAGATAACGATGTCAATATCGTTATTGTCGAAGAGATACATCTCGCTGATATAATCCACGCCAACCCAGACATCCTGGAAAAGCTCAGCGGGCAACGCCTAGTCTTGGTAGATGCTCTTCCGTCTCACCATCCCAAAAAGATCCGGCTTCCTGGCAGTATCGTGAATCTAGCATACCCACTCAGCCCGAAAGCGCTTTTCCGTGCACTCACTGCAAGTTCGAACGCAACGATAGGGCCACGACTTCTGTCACCGAAGCCTATCACTGCCTCGGAATCTCTCAAACCGGTGCAACATGTCGAACAAACCATCACAGTCAAGCTGGAAATACAAGCTTCACCAAAGGCGTTTGGCCCGACAGGCCAGGAACATGACCTTTGTGGACCTGGCGCTACAACACCGCAAAAGCAACAACACTTCCTCCTTGTCGACGACAACGCAATAAACCTTCGCCTTCTCTCGACCTTTATGAAAAAGCTCGGGTTTACCTCCGAAACCGCCGTCAACGGGCTGGACGCCTTCGAAAAGTTCAAAGAGGCATCGTCAAAATTCACGACCATCCTCATGGACATCAGTATGCCTGTGATGAACGGCTTCGAGTCCAGCCGTGCGATACGAAGTCATGAGAAGATGTTGGGGATGAAAGCGGTAAGGATTATTGCTCTGACGGGACTTGGGTCTGAGGCTTCGAAGCAGGAGGCCAAGATGAGTGGGATTGATGAGTTTCATACCAAGCCGGTCAAGTTCAACGCGTTGAAAGAACTTTTGGAAAAGTAGGGATACCTGTAGGAGTAATTAAGGATTGAGTTCGAATATAGCTGAGCTGAAGATGTATTTAATGAGTCTCACGATACCATTTTCAAGCACCTCTTATGAATCCGCTCATTCATAATCTGGTAGAAGCTGTGATGTTGTGGCAGCACAGAATGTGGCCTTTCTTCATGGTATGTCGTCAGTATAAGACTGGTAAGGCGCTAAACTGTCGTGCATGTTTGGCACCTCCGCCACTTGTGGAGAAATCGTCGTCCCTCCCGCGTCTGCCCCTTCATCTTTCTCAAGTGATTGCCAAAGCCAACATCACTTTTGATCTCCCGAGGCATTCAGCATCGAGCGATTTCTGCGGTCTGCACAATGACAGAACATGTGGACTCAACGTTGTCACCACGCATAGACATGTCCCTCTCCATCAACCCCTCCACCCACAGTTTCAGCTCGCCCACACCACCCACCCTCACCATGACTTTGTTGTCCCACGCCACCTCTCCAGTCACAATTTTCATCTGGAATACAGCCCTCCACATCTCCCGCGCGCTCACCAACCGCGGCATCACCATCACAGATCAAGAGACCAATGATTCCATCCCAACAACACATTTTCTGGTCCAACGAGTCGCCATCACCAGAATCCGGGGTAGCTACGACGAAGAACTGTATCTAGAGTTACCGCCAGGCGTGCCAGTACAGCTGCAAAGAGCTTTTGGCAGAAATGTGGATGTAAAGCCTTTGCCTAGGCATATTGTGCAGAAAGGGTGGGAGATTGATGAGCAGGGAAAAGAGAGAAAGATACGGAGGTCGATGAAGGCGACTGGGGTTGATGGACTAGAAGCTGGGCATAGCTATCGTGTTGGAGTGAATTCGGAGACGCTTGGGTGGTGTAGGTGGGCGTTTGCGACGAAAGACGAAGTGCTTGTTAACAAAGGGGAAGGAGGGAGTTGTCCTGATGATTTCGATTGGGAGAAAGAGAGGAAGATTGAGTGGATGGTGGAAGAAGGTGCAGTGAGTGTGGAGGATTGATCTCAATGCATTCTTGTGGTTTCGGAAATAAGTATAGTTCAGAGCAAGAGATAGGCGTTATGGTTCGGCTACTCAAAATGTGGAGTCACGGGGGCACTGCGCAAGTCTGTAAACACATTCGAATCCGTGGATTACCGATGCACTGGAATCGGCTTTTGACGGTAGATTGTGGCTCTATATCACTTTGAGTATACTCTACGACACGAATCGACGTCTGTCTACTCTGGGTATTCTGCAGATCTTTTGACACTCGGATCAAAAACCAAAGAGTCGCTTTCCCGCTACCAATTTCCGACAGCAATATGCTTCCTCACAGGTCTCAAGCATTCCCAGACTTTCTTCATGGCATGTTCCAGATCAACTGATGGGAATCAATTTCTGCTGACTCACAAACACAGTATCCGATCCAATGTTCAAGCAGTTCGCCAACTCGGCAATCCAAGTACCAGACGACTATACTGGAGTCTCCAACATGATATGCGCCCATGCTTCTGCAACATACGGCGATGCATCACATCCCGTTGCTTTTCGACTAGGTAATGGTGGCGCTGGACACACTGGCATCCTTCGCCTACTCTGCGAATACTTCATCGCCACTCGGGGAGGAGGTTTCTGTATTGAATGGGTAGCAAACCACAGTCGACACTCGCAAATTGCATTGCTGGGAGATGTGGTCCAAGTAGCCTTGACGTATGAGCCCGAGTACGAGGGTCTTGCTATCGCAGAGGGATGGGCGAAACGAGTGGCCAAAGTGTTCAATGACCACTTCATTCTGGTCGGGCCAGTTTCCAATCCAGCTGGCGTTGATATCGGTGCCGAGATCGCAGATGCTATGCAAGCAATTGCGAAGTACGGTTCTTCATCACACCAAAGCCATAATCAAGGACTCTTCCACACCCGCGGCGATGGCTCAGCAACATTCTACAAAGAACTGGCGTTATGGAAACTCGCTGGCATCGATATATCTTCAACAGAGTCATGGAGACTCACCAAACCGGGGACGCCTTACGAAGCTCTTGTGACGGCAGATCGCACAGGCGCATACCTCATCACCGATCGTGCCACATACCTTACAGCCAAACGAGACAGAGCGCTAAGCAATATCATACCCTTCGTTGAGGGCGGGCGGCAATTGCTGAATCCTTGCTCTGCACTTGTCAATCTCAAAGCTCCTCGCAATGAGCTGGCAACAGAGTTTGCTTCATGGCTGGGGAGTGAGGAAGTCCAGCAGATATTGAGCAGTTATGGGCAGAGATGGTCTGTTGCCACTCCCGTATTCTCCGTGGCGAAACAGGACGATGTGAGATTCTCAGAGAGATTGGTAGCAAAGCTGTAGAAATCGAAGACTTAGTGATACACGATCGAGCAAATTCTAAGACTTCATGCCTCAATACACTATACTACAAGAGCCTGTAGAAGTCCGGCTATCAAGAGTGCGGCATCTATGATAGTCGACATGTAGTATTCAGCTTTCGCGACTGGGGTTCTCAAGGTTGGTACCAGTCTCAAATCCATCGAGGGCTCAAGAATATTTCTGGAGTACACTGCGTCTTCTCCTTGGACCAGCACACTTTGACTTAGGTCAAGCGTCGCTTGCCCGATCTCAACACAAGTCTTTCATACGCTGCGGCAGCTCAAGCATCACTCATGTCTGCTGACTATTCATGGCTATTCGGGTCTAGTCATCTCCAATGTGACAAACCCAGAACCAAGATAGGGATCTCGAGGCGGCAGTGAATCGGACAATAGTCATGTCGAGGCTATCGCTATCTGAGTGAGTGTCGAGAAGGTGTGACTAATTTGAATCTCATTGGTAGATCTTGTCAGTTCGGTCTTTGAGACAAAGATTCCTCGAGAACTTGCAATCAGAGCATCTAGTAAGGCCGTAAGAGCAGCTGAAGTGCTCGGCGAATACGCGTAAGACTGTGCCCCAGCTACGGTATCGACTCACGGAACCGCGAGTTGCCGTCAGAAGCCGTGGGACATATCGACAACCACAAAGCTTGACCTTGCCGACAGAGAAGCTTAATCATCTCGCAATAAACGGCATAACTTGTCGTAGTACCGAACACGGACCACACCTCGTATCAAGCCTCGTCATCCCATGGGGATGTGTATGCGGGGTTAGCTATTGGATGATTGGTCTCTATCTGGATCACGAGCTCGAGTTCGGTTATACGCCGATAGCAAGTAAACAATGCCCGACGACGAGTGATTCCCCGACCATCGAATCCTACCTGAGATGTCGGCCGACGGTCTTGGGTCAGTAGCTGGATTCGAACAGCTATAAAGGGATCCCCATGGAGTCAAGTCTTCCAAGTCTCTACCGATCAAAATTATTGTCCCATATCATGTCGTCTTCACCAACATACATGCGGCTCAAGGGTCAGAATCTAGTATACGCTGTTACCCTCTCTTGTTCTCTCGGGTTCCTGTAAGTCTCTAGCCACAAATCATAGCTTCGATGTCTGATCCTCTCTAGACTTTTTGGCTACGATCTCGGGTTCATGGGAGGTCTGACCACCGCTCCAGAGTTTCTCAAGACCTTTGGCAACCCAGATCCATCTCTTCTTGGCTTCCTGGTCTCTTCATATGAGATAGGAGCGCTCTTCGGCGCTGTCTTTGTGTTCCTGCTGGGCGATCGCTATGGTCGCAGACCTATCAAGTTGACAGGAGCTGGAGTGATCTCGACAGGCGCCGTTATCCAAAGCACTTCTTTTGGAGTCCCTCAGTTTCTCGCTGGTCGTATCATTGCTGGCTTTGGCCTCGGTATGATGACTTCAGTCATCCCTATCTGGCTTGCTGAATGCGCGGCACCAAAGTCTCGTGGACGCATGATTGCCATGCAGCTTTCGAACTTGATCATGGGCCTAATCATCGCCAATTGGCTCGACTACGGTATGGCATCTTACCCTTCCAGCATCCAGTGGCGCTTTCCTTGCGCTTTCCAGATTGCATTCTGCGTCTGCGTCGCCTGCCTTGTGCCGTTCTTGCCCGAGTCGCCTCGGTACTTGGCAAAGACAGGACGACTGGACCTTGCAATCAATAATCTTGCTGCCCTTCGTGGTATGAACCGAGATGATCCTGACTTGCAACGAGAGATGAAAGACATCGAATACATTGTCGAAGTCGAGCAACGAGAAGAAGGAACCTGGAGCGATGTTTTCAAGGATGGAGGCATCAGTGGCTCTACCCGCGTCGTCATCGCGTGTGTCGCCAATGCGCTACAACAACTCACCGGCTCCAACGTCATGTCCAGTTTTGGTCCCTACATTTTCCAAAAGTCGATTGGCATGACCCGACACCAAGCACTATTGGTATCAGGAGGCCTTCAGGTCTTTTTCTTTGTCAGCAGCATCATTCCTTGGTTTATCATCGACAGAGTCGGTCGACGTCGCCTGTTTCTGTTTGGGTCAACCGGACTTGGTCTTTGCATGGCATTGTCGGCCGTGTTTGTCGGAGTCAAGGGCAACAAGAGTCTTGGCTATGGTGCAGCCGTCATGCTATACTTATACCAGACATGCTTCACAGTCGGTTGGATGAGCAACATGTGGGTNTTGTGAGTCATGAGTCCCCTCTACCGACCTCAAAGCCTTTTACTGACGCCGATCATAGATCCTTCAGAGCTTCTCCCTCTTAAGCTCCGTCTTCGTGGAGCTGCCCTCTCCGTCGTCTTCCAATGGCTTGCCACCTTCCTGATCGTCGAGATTGTCCCGCTCATGATCAGTAGCATCGGATACAAGTCCTACATCGTCTTTGCCGCCATCAACGTTACAACCATCCCTATCGTCTACTTCTTCTTTGTTGAGACTTCTAACCTGCCTCTTGAAGCAGTGGATATCCTGTTTGCGGACCGCGATGGTAAACGTCCGAGCATCCTGCAAGTTGTTCGTGATAGCAAGGATAGAGAGTACATGGCTGATGTGGTGCGCCGGCTTCATGCGGAGGCTGATATCCAAATTGATTTCAACAAGAGTGGTGCCAAGGAGGATGTCGTCTTTGTTGAGAAAGTTGAGGCTTGATCAGTTTTCCAAGCAACTCCACTCTTCCCCATCTTCATCGGAACATAGGGCATTGATATCTAGTCTTTCTCTATACATTGGTTCAGAAGCCTCTTGATCAGATTATTGAATAATGAGAAGTCAGATCCAACAAAATCGAAGAAGAAGTGCCCTAAGATCAATGAGTGCCGTTCTCTTTGGTTGTACCCTCGGCTCCTAGAGCGTAATTTGCATGCGTATACAACCTCCCATCATTGTTGGTGTCCAACCCGTTGAAGGTAAACACCTCGCCTCCGGGCGTCATCACTGTTGTCCTCAGGCCATTAACCACTCCCTCAATCCTCTGGACTGCATTCTCAGCTGCCTGTGCACTGGAGCCACTCAAAGCGCCCTTCAGCTGATTAGCCGTGTCTCCAGGCGAGAAGATATCAGCTCGGTTGAACGTATGATTTGCGGCCCAAGCTCCATATCCAGAAGTAGGAAGGCCATTATCGCCAATATCATCCACCTGGACAATTTTGAAATGATTATCGAAAAGGCTAAAGGCGATTTCTTTGGGACGTTCCTCGACGGAGTTTGCAAAGTTCGCTACCCACACGCCGCCGGCGCCTGGTTCGAGGCGGATTTGGTAGCGGTAGCGCAATTGGAGCTCGCCGGTGTAAGCGCGATATTTAGGAGGGTCTAGGAGGTATTAGTCAGAATACCTATGGTCCTTTGCTGGCCTGGCAGAGCATGATCCTTGATAACTTACTGATGACATGGGCGTAAGTCTCGAAATGGGCTTCGAAGTGGAAGTCCATGGTTGCCGTTATTAGAACGCTGCGTCTGGCGTCTGCTGGCATTGGTTTCGAGCCTTGATCCGTAAAGTCTGATTGGACGAAAATTGAACTCTCGCTCCAACCTGGTCATAGCGTTAGAATTGTCTGACAGATGAATAGTATACTACAGTCTGCTTTACCTTTGTTCCAAAGCTCGGCCCCGTAGAGGGCGTTTCCGCTTTGTTCAACCGCATTTGTCTGAAAGTCTGTCCGACGCTTCCACTGGTGGGTTTCGTCTTGAGTAACATTGTCCGTAGGTCCAGTATTATAGGACCAGTTGTTGGAGCCACGAGTATGCATAAAGTTACTCAGAACTGTCATGGGATCGATCCAAAAGGCCCGTGCGAGCTGACCGATGATGAACTGGTCCCAGAAGAGATGCTTCGACCAAGCCATCATAGCGTCACCGCTGTTGGCACCAAGCTTGTCAAAGAGAGACTGTCGAAGATTGCCTGCATCATGCAATGTCATAACATCAACGTGACGAGAGACATTGTTGGTTGGATCTTGATTGGGCTCCTTGCTGTTCATAGTAAGGAAACAGTAGTTCAGCGTGTTGACACCACCTCGAGAGCCTTTTTGAGTAGTTAGATCGAAACGAGACGGGATGAAGCAAGCTGGTGTGTTCTGCCAACTGGCATCTGGATTAACAGAGGCAAGATCCTGGGTAGTCTGAGTGATCCCGTAGCCTAGGACGAACGGGTTTTCGGGGCTGGAAATACCTTGCCCACTCTTGCCATTCTCTTCATTGGCGCTAGCAAGTCCTTTGAAATACTGCGTGACGTTGTCCATGATATCCTGCGTCAATCCGATAGAGGGCGAGTTCCCACCTTGATCAACGATCTTGAAAGAGTTCACCATGGTAGTCGCTTCCATCAAGCAGAAAATTGATGAGACAGTAAATAGTTTCGAGAAGACTGATTTCAGTCCGTTGATCAGGCCAGGAGTGAGGTACGTGGGATCACTTGCATCTTCATGCTTACAGACTAAATCGTTCATGACGTTGTCGATGTTCTGCTTGCGGACCTTGACTTGCCAAGACATTCCCTAGTCGTTAATGACAGTTGCAAGGAGCTTCGGGTGCTGAGGAGGACCTCCATAGTAATAAAATTTGCTGTCTGGGCTGGTTTGGGTCCCGGCAGTTTTTTCACCACCCTCTGGAACAGACTCATCTCGTTGAAACGTTATCGTGATTGTCGCTTGATCGAGTTCATCACCTCCGAAGCTGATCTGAGGGGCCTTGATGTGCCCGAATATACCTACCCCTTGTCAGTCCCTTTCTCCCATGCATATGAGCAATCGTTGAAGACACTTACCTGTTTCGGGGGTGGAGACCCATGTATTGGTGTCCTCATCTTGGTACCCTCCAACCTGTATATACATGTTGTGATTGATAGCGTACTCGGAAGGCGGTGTCGGCTTGCCGCCTTTGACCCGATGAGCTGGCCGAAAAGCCGTTGTTTCGAGCTTGTGGTCGTAGAGCATTTGCATCTGTTTGTTGACCGCATCCTGAGAGATAGATAAGATTATATCATAGCCCGCTACGGTATCCGAGGGTATCTCCGTGATGGATGCCATGATCTGGCGAACGAGCTTGGAATTATGGGATTTGATGTTTTCAGATTGTAATCTGGAGATTGGAATGAATGACATCCGCAAATGAGTAGGGATCTCGTACTTATATTCACTTCAGCGAAGGCGTCCGGACAGAATACCTGCATCCACAGCTGGAGCTCCAGACATGATGATCCGCGGATTTTAGTTCTCAGCCAAGTCAAACCTTCGTCAGATGCAGCATCTATGCCATCGATAGAAGAGCTGAGACGCCGTGCAATGCTAGTCGTCTTGATCCGGACATAGGTTCAAAGCAGTGACCACTGCAAACTTCAGCTCCGTGCGTCCTCGCGAAAAGAGTCCATGCAGCCCTTGCAACTTCATGCCCACATTCAGTCAAGCTGGCAGAGTTTCGCATCCACTTCTAGAACCTTTCCGTGATTGTCGAGAGAATGCAACACCATCATTCCACGGCTTGTAAGCGTAGCGCCAAACTCCATCTAGTTTGTCGACCAGACTTCTACAACTATCAATATCCTCCAATCAATAGCCATCCGGAGCTCGTGCGCACATGATAAAGACGCTGATATGTGCACCTGAGAACGTTGCTCTACGATCTGCACGAATTACGCGAACTGCAACAGCTGAACTATTGTCTGGAAGCGAGACAGACTGGCAAGCAAGGAAAGTTGTCAAGCTCGCATCCACGAGCCAGCTGAGATGACCAGTCGAACGAGAAATACCTGCATCGAGCTGAACTCAGCTCTTTGTCACTGTATCGCTAGGAGATGAGCGGCACTCAATCTTTTTCGACAAATGCCTCAACCTCAAGGCGATGCGCAGTATAAAGATGACTGACTGCCAGTACGGATCTTGCAACAAACACGCGCTGTGACAAGTCGGTCGATCCACAATTGTCTACCGTTCCTGGACTTGCTCTTTACGACCACAAGACACCAAGTCGAGCTCATTTGATCCGAGAGCCTTGAGCTCAATCATCACTCTACCTACCTCGGCACCATTCCCAGTCACAAATATCAATTACAGTGGAGCCAATTCAAGCGTCTCCGAGGGTCCTCACGCTACAGAGAAGGTCCAGCTCAGAGTCTGCTCCGAGTTCACTAGGTATACTGCTCAAGTCACGGCATTCGAAAACAGCTCCAAGTTGGCCCTCGTTGTCGATGGGCTCGGCCAACCCTTGATCGCCTCGATCGGTGACGACCAGGTAAGGACAAGCTTCTCAGCGCGCTTGTACGTATAATCACTCATCGTGATGTAGCGTCTTTGGTTGTTGTTCCATGTTGATGGGGCTTCGGTCGCATGGCGGATAGAAGATATCACACCGGGGATGAGGGACAACAAAGTTTTCGCTTTTGACATGCAGAGCTGGAATGGCAAGATCTACATCTGTGTCGCTGCTGGTCAGGTTGGCTCTATCACTGTCTTCACGACATCATTTCCTGTGCCAAGTTTGAAGCTGCAAGATAGTCTGATGACTCCAGACTTAGCATGTGAGCAGTAACATAACAAGCTGAGAGTGTGACTGATCTTCTGTAGCTCTGTTCGATTGGCGACAACTGCTCTCAAACCTTGGGAACAGATCAATCACTTACCTCAGTTGCTCACCTGCAGCAGCTCCGTTGGTCAAGGCTGCTGATTACCAGATCATCGCTGGCACTGAAGCGTTTGGTCCGCATGCTGGCGCCGAATATGTCATAGATCCATCTGAGAACGTCGCTGCTCCTTGGGCAATCTTGCCACTGCCGGAGACTACTTGGAAGGTCATACAGGTTGCAGGTGCCAATACGAGTGCTGGTATTGGCGTCTTCACCCTTTACACGAGTCCAACTGGGTCTGGATGTTCTCAAACAGTCATTGATCAAAGTGGCAAGTGGATGCAGCCGCTTGGTAACATCCGATTGTTGACCTCCGTCCTCGGCAATATCCAAGACATGACAACCAATGTCAATCCAGCGATGTATGTCACAGCGCAACCTGTTCTAGAATAAAGCTCGACTAATCAAATGCATACAAACGGATGCGTTTATGGCAGGAGACAAGGGTATAGCATTCTATGACGCTGTGCGACTAACAGCAAAGCCGACAGTGATCCTGAGTAACGTCGCCTTCAAGCAAGTGGTTGCTCATGAAGATATAGATCCTGCCAAGCCAGACGAGCAGTCCATCATCACCGTCTTCGCGGTATCAAATACTGGAGAGCTGTACGCGACTTACGGAACAAGAATATGGTCGACAAATACTGTCACGTTCCAGTGCTCCGGCTCTCCAATACGTTCAGACGTAGCTAGAATGTCTGGCTTCTACAATGGTGTCACGGGCAACAGCGAGCTGGTATATGCCGTCGATAATAAGAACGAGTTGAAACACTTGATCAGAGATTGCACAGCACAGGCTTGGTCTGGAGACACGATACATGTCCCGAGTCTTGACAAGACTGCTTCGTACCCAGCTTATCTGACCTCGATCACATGTACCGACAGTTTCGGCACCCCAGTATCGGAAGGATACTCTTTTGGTCTCACAAGTGAAGCGACTAAAGCCTTGATCAACGACAAGACGTACTCGCTCAATGCCATACCTACTACAGTGTCTATGGACCGGATGGGATCCGTCAGAGTTGTGTTGGCCGCTGATGAAAACCTTGCCGCGCCACGATTAGGTGTTACTGTCACCAAGTTCCTTTCCACACCCGAGACGCACCCAATCGACCCCCATCAGAGAGTTCTCACAGGGCTTGCGTCAGTCAACAACAGTAACGATCTCAAAGACGCAAAGTCAACAAAGGGCGATCCCATCTTCAAGGATCTCGGCAACGACTCAGCAACGCAAAGTAGAACGAATGCTTGTGGTACACTGTTAGGCAACACCCAGAGTTTGGTTCAGAGAACCGATACAGCTATAGCAAAACAGATCTACGGCCTTGATCCTACAACCAAACGAGAGGTGAACTTCTCGCTCGAGAAGGATGAGCACGGCCACTTCTCCATTGGCCAAGGTAACTGGATCGAAAACGTCGCAACAAAAGTCGTGCATTTCGTTGAAGATGTCATCGAGTGGATTGCTGGAAAGGTCAAGACTGTGCTGAGATTCGCGTTCAAAGTACTCGACGATATCCTCGAATTCGCCGTCGAAGTCGAGGGTCGAATCATCAAGTTCGCCATCAAGTCCATCGGCGTCTTTCTCAAATCGGTCGTGAGCTTTTTGAAGGAGCACCTCGGCATCGATATTACAGGGCAGTTGATCTGACCGAGAGGTTCTTCATTGTCAACCGGACTGTGCTCACGGAGGCTCTTCAGGCCTTGCGCGTTGCTGTAAAGGGCAAGATCAAGGACAGCCGTCCTCCTGTGGTCGATGAGAGCAGTGCCAAGTCGTCGTCAAACTTCCATCTGCCTACCTGGCTCTTGCACAACCCGATCATCAAGCTTTTGCTGGGTCTCAACCCTTTGGAACTTCTTTTAGAAGCTGCTGCAGATTCTGGAGCTATTGAGCTTCCCAACATAAAAGATCTTGAGTCCATCATCACGGAGGTCGTTCCTGAATTATTCCAAGACGAGCTGGAGATACTGAAAAGGCTTATGATGGACATCTATGAGAAGATCAAGATGGTCCTTCAAGATTCTTCGAAGCTTGGAGAGGTATTGTTGGACATGCTTGAGGACATCCTCTGGACCATATTCGATGCGGGCGAAAAGATCATTATCACACTCTGGGATATACTGGTCAGGTTCTTCAAGCAGTTTGTCGTGTTGTGCACCTCCACCATCAAGATACCATTCTTGACAACCACCTTTGAGATTCTCGCTGAGCAGGAATTCAGCATCGTCAATTGTGGTACTTTCGTCTTCGCCGCCATCATGAACATTGCCTATGCCATCGTGTACAACAAGCTTCCATTCAACGTGCTTCCCGACTCTAGCGGATTCGAGAAATCGATCAAAGATGACCAACTCAGACTATGGCACATAATCGCTGAAAAAACAGCTCCTCGCGCAGAGTACGCAATGGTACGGCCTCTTGTCTCTAGAGTGGCAAATGTCACCAGCAGAAACCTCACCATGGAGAAGACTTCTGGACCATCATCTCTTATCACTGCAGAAGAGCGAAAACCGGAGGTTTATAGTGCAGCACATACTTTCGCACTCAACGATCTTTGGGCGGGAGGGCTCGCAACAGCCGCTGGTGTATCCAATGCAGACATGATCATTGTCACCATGGGACAGGTATTTGGTAGGGGCAACAACGCCGGAGGTAACGGGAGTCTCTCCGCACTGACGACCATTCCAGACGTGATAGCTTACGTGATCGCACTGGTGGCACGAGTGGTGGATTTAACCATCTACAGAGTCTCTATTGATAAAGATCCAAATCTCCGTGCCGAACTAGGCGATGAAGACACCCGGGTAAGTATCCGAAAGTCGAATCGAATCGCACTGACAAACCATTGCCTACAGATGGGTGGCTATGTTATCGGGCTCATACTCACCGCGATCCCCATGGGCATGAGTCTCGTCAACTACAAATTGAGAGACAAAACACTCAAAAGTGTCTCTGGGGCTGTGTTCACCCTTGGAGATGGACTGTACCAACTTTTGACCAACATTATACCGGTCGCGACAAAGGACAAGTTTTCTGTTGACACAGCCTCCATCCGCCTGACACTCGTCGATGCCACTGCATTTGCGGCGCTTGTCTGCCAGATGATCGAAACACCACCGACCGAGATCGCCGCTGTTGTGTTAGGTGCAACCTCGACTTTGTTTACTGTAGGAACTTTCGGCGCTGGTGAGTTGCTTCGATTTCGAGATTCTGGAAGTCACTAAAGGAACGTTTTCTACAGAGGCTTCACACGTACTGGTTTCTGGCTCGGGTTGAGTTTTGTAGGATTATTCATTATATCTCGCGTGACGATTATCTCACTGCTCGAATCATCTTTGCCGAGTTCTCGTGAATTCGGTTCAAGTCTTTGACGTCGCTAATGTGATGGTGCACTTAACGCTCATCATGATCCATGTCACTCCTAGATCTTACTAGCCGATATTTGTCCACAGTGTTCAGTCATCTATAGTTCATACTGGAAGATTGTTTGTACTCAACGGATAATTTATATGTGTTCAACTAGGATCGATACCATTGACGGTTGTGCAATCGTAAACTACAATAGATCTAGGATAGGATTCTACATCTTCCATACCCCAGCAGTTCCCTTCGAACCTCTTAGTTCTTGATGACTCTAGTACTTTTAGGGCTGCAGTTCTTGCAATCGGCGATGTTGGCCGCAGTACCAGCAGCGGAACCAACGCAAGCAAGATCCGCAGCAGGATTGGCGCCGACTCCGATTATGGCAGCACCGCACGAGGCAGCTGTTCCGATGTTGTGGAAGACACATTNTGAGTCTTGCTGTCAGTATTCTTTCGAGGAGTTGTGACCCTGCAACGTACTGGCAAGATCGCCTTTAGAGCAACCGGCAGGAAGGGAGATCAGAACCTGAGGCTCAGCAAAGTCCTCAGCAGATGCTGCGATTGCAGAGGCGGCGAAGGCCAGAGAGGCGATAATAATAAGCTGCATCTTTGGAATAGTCCTGGAGAGATGAGAAAGGCTTCAATTATGAGAATGTTAGGCTGTTGCTGTGATTGATGAGAAGATGATAGAACCAGATGTGAGGGCTTCTTTGACCCTCTATATACCTTTTTTCGACTACCCTGACCATTGTCGGGCCATTCCTGCGATCGTTTGTCCTGACACGTTGTCTTGCTTTTGATCACTCTCTGCAATCCTCCTCAACATCATTGCGGTTTTCATCTTCCTGCATAAAATCCTTCAACAGACAATCCTTCTCGGAGGTGAGCAAAGCCATGATGTACTGCGCAACGGCACTCGATCTTTCTTGCTATTAGATGGAACTAGTCGGGCAAGTTCTTAGGACTCAGTAAGGGGGGAGCATCTCGTCGAGGATGTTGGACGAGCCATTGGCGGAGATCTGCTGACACTCAACCAACATTGGCAGCTCGAACGCTCGACACCATGTTCTATGACTTAATAACGATTCAGCTCGGGAGTTTCCTAGATTACAACATTGATCTTGATTGGTATCCGTTGACTGATGGTGATAGAGTTATCTGCATCGCCTCAACGCAGACTTCCATGCAGTTTGATGCTGTTTTGGTAGCAAAGTTTGATGGGTCGCTTATTAAGTGTTTTGGAGTAGTGCCGATGGTTTACCCTTAGCGTACTGGAATACGGAGACCTTAACATCAGGGTAATCATGCCGATCGAGGCAGAAGTTGGCGATCAATAGTCGGATGTATTCGCATAAATGTTTGAATAGGCTGAAAAGTAGCCCCTGGGTGATCGAACGTTAAGGTGATGGAGATACTCCTGTCCAACATGAGTTTGTCTCAAAAATGAGGTTCGGACACTATCAGTGACGATCCAAATCACCAGATATGACCTGTATCGAATGAGCAACAAGCTACAGGTGGAACATGCAACACGCGTGCGACACAGTATCTCCCAACGACTCGCATCGGTGATTTGTTGCAGGATCAAACACCTAGGTACATCCTGCCTGAGCTGTCCATGTGCCTAGAAGTGAAATTTATGAGTATTCTCGGTGATCAGGACTCATGGGTCATCGGGACATTCAAGCTAATGAGCTTGGTGAAGCTTGACGGTGCATATGATAGCTTGATGTTACGTGTAATACGAGCGAATCCAGAATCCTGATTCTTTTGGAAATGAGGCGTCGGCCGTAACTACAGTATGACGAATCCTGCTGAGATCCGGCTGCAATGATCGCATACGTCTTGTATACAGAGTCACCAGTCCCTGGCAATGATATCCGGGTGTTGCTGGTACGACTGTATAGGTATCTATGCTTCCCGCGCTCAGTCACTCTCAGTCTCAGCTTTTTTCCTCGACGCCAGAACTCTATCGATCTTCTCACCCTTGACCAAACACTAGGGCTCTTGCAAGTCCTCTTGATAGCACCCCTGATCGCCCCAACACATTTATTTCATTACCAACAGCATGGGTTGTGGAAATTCCAAGCCAGAGTACACTGGAAACAGTGCCCCGGTGCAATCGAATCCAGTCAATGCACAACAAGGATGTGCAGCGCCTCAAGTACCAGCATATCAACAACAGTCACCAAAGACAGGGTCCGGAAGGGAAGCGGCAAAGAACTTGGGATTCTTGAGTATGATTGCCAGCTAGTGGTCGTACGCGTATGTGGAAAGTCTGATGATGGTATGTGCCAATCACAACCTCTTCATGTCTCACTATCGACGATGGTTCTGAGAGATATCCTTCTGATTCGAACGCAAAATAGATTCGAAATTTTCATGCTTAAGAATAACAAGGCAGGTGCAAAGATTCTTGTTTTGCGACCATAGCGTTGCCGTCCTCGAATCTATCTACGCTCCTTTGTATAGAACGTTGTAACTGCTTCGAGCTACCGTCGGTGAGCGCCCGGTGCAGCGGACAGCTCTGTTCTTGGGATTGGCTGTGTCATTGAGAATTTGACAAAGCGCTTTACAGACCTGGCAGATTATCGTTTGATGGATCGAAGCTGTGAACGCATTTTTGTGTGATATATTCAGATATTCTTTGCTTACTCACATCAATATCCGATATGGTCTAGTGGCTAGGATTTCTCGCTCTCAAACCGTTCGAAAGAACAACCAGGTCCGAGGAGGCCGGGGTTCAATTCCCCGTGTCGGAATCTACTTTTGCTTCGTGTTGTGATCGCACAGAAATCTTCTTCACTCTTGTAGAGCGCACGGGCACAAGACAGCTCACGCGCAAAGTTTGTATGTCCAAATTCGGTGTTAGCTTTTTGCTTGGCGTCCGATGTTTTGCTTATCTCCACCGCCTTGCATATTGCGAATCTCTTCGACCATGACTTCTGCAGCTCTGCTGCCAGGCAACAACCAAGACAACCTTGGGCTGCATTTTCTGCTAGAGTGGCTTGATCTCAGATTGTTTTTTCTTGGCAGCATCGGTCTTGATGTCTGCTATAAGCACATGGCGCATCGTAGTTTTTTGCAAGCTGCAATCATGCTATGGTTTCGACAAGGTAATCCTGCCAATCAAGCCGCGCCACTGTCCTTCTTGAAGTTGAGTTCGACGCGCTTCTCCTCGAACACCAACTCCCTGAACTCCCTCTTGTCGGAAACGCTAATCCGACAGCTCCGGATATTGTCACGTCCGAGAATCTGCTGGTAGCACTCTGCAAAGTCTGAGGCTTTGAAGAAGCCTGTCTGCTTGGCTGACTCGTCCACCTCTACTCTCATGTTTAGATACACTTCGTTGAAGCGAATATTGGTGTCTCTCAGGTCGCGGCAGGCTACGTTGGCCAAGGAGTAGAGAGCTCCTTGAGTTAGAGCTGCTGGTGCACATATGCCAATGTCACCCAAGCTTCCTGTGCAAAGGGTCCAGGTGCTGTCTTTGTATCCTTGCTCAAGCAAATATGGCACGGTTGCTCTGTAGGCGACTAGACAAACTTATCAGTGACCAGCTTACGAGGACAACCACAGCACGACTTACANGAAGTTGAGTTCGAAGTTAATGTTCATGTAGTGATGCAGTTCCTCACACGTCAGTTCGTGCATAGGGGTCATGCCACGCAGCCCACCAGCTATACGAGTACGCTGTCAGTCAACGGCATCCGATCAAGACTTTTCATACCTACCAGCGGCATATACATGTTGGAAGGCAGGCAGTTTCCCAGCCTTGACATCTTCAACCACTCGGAGCATGCCTGTTTCGGACGTGAGATCTGCTTCAACAACGGTGATGCCCTCCTTTGTGCCAACATGTTTGAACAGTTTTTGAGCGGACTCTTGATTGCGGACGATGGCGAGTACGCTGCGATTGGCACGAAGAGCACCGATCACAGCGGCGACACCGATGTTGCCAGTCGAGCCTACCACAAGAACCGTTTCAGATGGCATGGCTGAACCAATGGAGAGACGAAATATTGATGTTAGAAGTAGCCGTTGTTTGGTTCTGAGTGTGGTTTTATATGTTATCCTGCAGTCATGCTTCACGGACGTAGTAGTTCACACCGATCAAGAACATCATGCATGGAGGACTTGGGATCAAGCATCTGTGTGAGTGTTTCTCAAGTTCATTGGTCTCGAAGTCATGCTTCTTCGGACATCGGACAACCGGCTTTCGGAAACTTGGTCGACCAACCCCCAGCAATCTATATATATTGCTGCACCCTGCATATAGAAGACTGTTTGTTATCACCTTGGTAATGGCTCTCGTTGGCCGGATAATGTTACCATGATCGCAAGGACTGAAGTTGATTCAACGCGCCAACACTTTACAATGTGATCGCAGAGCATGTGTTTTAGAAACACCTTTGAGACGGTGTGTTATGTCCCCTGTCCGGGCAAATCTCCTCTAGTCCTGATGGACTACAGTTCCAGCCGAGGCGATTAACTTCCCCTGTTTATAGAGTAATCGAGTAACTACTCTCCAATCCCAACGTATCAATCGTTTTCTCGGATTCCGGACCAATTTCTTAGACTCCCAGGTACAAGTGAAGAACTGCAGTCCAAAAGATTATCTGTACGTAAAGCCAGCTGAACTACTCCTCATACATGTTAAGCGCAATGCTCCCCTTACTCTGCCACAGACACAACATTCTCGTGCCGAAATCTAGCGTCAAAACCTACAGGCATCTCCTCAAATCTTCCTCTCATGAATATCCTCAACATGCGTAACCTCCACCCCACTCGCCCCTTCCTTACCCCCAACCGTCCCCATCTCCCTCAAATCCATCACTCCCTCCATCTCCTGCGCTTTATTCTTGACCTCTTCTACAGCCTCCACACCATCAAATGTCTGGTTGATCTCTTCTAGAGTTGCACCTCTAGTCTCTGGGAAACAGAAAAACACAGTGACGAGCTGGATAACCAACCAGCCCTCGAAGAAGAAATAGAACTTCCAACTTCCTGCCGAGATGCCGAGGGGGATGACGTATTGTGAAATTGCGAGACAGACGTAGGTGGAGATGTTTTGCATGAGTAGACCGTTTGCGCGGATCTTGAAGGACAGGATTTCTAGGGGGTAGGAGACACCTAGAGANNCGGCCTTTCGTGTCATGTCAGTATTATTGGACACTATATCTGAGATCGAGGGAGCCACTCACCAAGCGAAGTTGTAAAAGAAGTTGTGGAAGAAGATCATGGCGATGACACCTTTGCCCCAAGACTTCTCCTTGGGATTCTCGAGTTGTTTGGCGGTGAGGGCGATCCAAGTTGCAAAAGTGCATACCATTCCTGTAGAACAGATCTAGAGGGTATCAGTTTAGGTGGTTCTTTGGATGATGTGATGAACGTTTGCAGTTCAACTTACAAGGAAAAGAGGACGACGACCGAACCTATCAACCATGCAAGCCCAGAACCAAGCTTCGAACATGTTGACCATCAGAATGAAACCATTGAGCATGTTTTGATAGTTGGGGCTGTCGATTCCAATGTTCAGCAGAATGTTGTGGAGGTAGTACGCTGTCAGACTGGTGCCAGAAAATTGGGAGAAGACACCGCAACAAAGGCAAATAAAGACACGACGACGATTGGCNNCTCTAAAACATTGTTAGTTAAGAAAGTAAGATTTCACAAAGAAAAGCTCACTGGTTGAGACAAGATCGCTCCAACGACCCTTCTGTTCACCCAGGGCAATTGATGCCTTCATCTCTGCAAACTGGAAGCGCACAAGAGGGTCCTCTGCATTGCCATTCGCATGATACTTGGCAAGGATAGCGAGAGCTTCGTCGCTTCTGCCACGAGACATGAGCCAACGAGGAGACTCCGGGAGGAGTATGACTAGAACAAGTTGCACGGCAGAGGGAGCAGCCTGCAGAAGGCTGGGAAGCCTCCAAGACCAGTTGGAGTTGATGTACAAGGTACCAAATGTGATCCCTAGAAAAATCATTGTCAGTCGTGGGGTCAAGAAAAACAAGGACCANNTGATCTACTTACAGCCTCCGAGGAAAGCACCAAAGTAGTATTGAGTGCNTACACATCAGTCAACGAGAGGAACCAGTCGTACCATGACCGAGAAGACGTACTTGTACAAGGCAGTGATCTTGCCACGCTCAACAGGGTGAGCAATCTCGGTGATGAGAAGAGGCGATCCCAGTCCAGAGAATCCAGAACCCAAACCAACTGTGAAAGTTCAGCATGAGACCAAGAAAGCCTTCACGATTTGCCAAATCTTACTCAGAAACCGGGCAGCAGTGAACATGTGGATGTTGATCGAGAGACATTGCACGATACCAGCAACGACAACGATAAAGCACCCGACAAATATCGTCCATTTACGACCGCCATAATCAGCCATGTAGGGGCCCAGGATCAGNNACCTTGAAGCCGTATCAGGAGAGCGCCTAGAAGATAATGTCGCAATAGCAAAACACTTACTGACCAGACCTCCCACAGTCTGTATACAATTCAAGAGACCTTGAGTCGACCCATGAGGATAGTTGAAAACTAGTGGCTGTTAACGATCATTCTTATCGATTACCACCATGTCTCATAACTCTTACATTTCTCATAGTANGGTGATGGACTGCACTCCATTCATCAGTGAGCTATCCAGAGAGTCAGCATAAGTCTTGGCCACTGAGATTGAGAATCACTCATACCCATCATAACCATTGGTTGCCGAAGAGAGCAGGGCAATCAAGAGCAAAGCATACAGCTTTCTGCGTCCAGGATCTTTGTACCAAGGTGTGACATTGGCCATCAACTTGGCCATCTCTTGCTGAGTCGTCGCCATTCTGCAAGTACTTCCGATTGTCGAGCAGATCAAGGATGTAAGGCCACGCGATCAACTCATGTGTGGACATCTTCTCAGTCAAATATATACCAGACCAAACAAGTAGATTCATTGGCGGCTAAATGGTCTTCTTGCCGTCCTTTCCACGGCCAACGGGATCTTAGCTAAGTACCTTGCTGTTGCTTGCAGTCATGTGTCGTAGAGCGGATTGAAAGGGGATCAGGGCCACACCAAGGAGGTGGGGTAATGGGGTAAAATGCGGAGAGATCTGCGAACCATGCACATCCATCTGTATGTAGTAGCTTGCCGGGATAGTCCATCTTTGGCCAGAACGTACCGGGAGAGGTGACTTGGAATTGTGCATTTAGCCAGCAGGGACCGGATCAGAAATGCCACAAGACGTGAAGAGATCTTTGATGCACAATCTGAAAACCAGATGCGCGGATTGCGTGTCTTAGAGTATACCAGTTGTAGTATTCGCTTAAGCTCACCAAGCTCCACAACTTCATATCAAGCAAAGGCTTGCAAGCGTAAGCAACCAGCCTTGGCTTCAATCTAGCCCCGGTTGATATATCAAGATACCACAATAGTCCTAGACTTGCAGCTGCTGGTAGAGACGGGCTCTGTGCCGAGGGCTAAATTCGAAAAGCCATGCGGGGAGACCGACTAGGAAATAAGAGGGGAAATAATAGACGGGAAGATTTGCCTAAATTGCTACGGTATACAAACGGACGTGTAGTCATGTATTGTGAAGCCTTTGATTAACCAGATGGTCGGTCATCAGACAAACACCAAGCAAGGTCGAACTCGGACCTTCCGAAGGCCAACCCGCGAACCTTGGTCGTGAGTAACGGACTTATTCAAATCAGATGCAACAGAGATAAGGCAAGGACATGAGACACCAGACAGATATAAAATAAACTTACAGGTCCTCCAACCTTGCCCAGACAAACATTTGAGCAAACATCCAGGAACTGTTAGCTAAGATTGACCAGAGGCCACTTGAGTCAGGGCTAATCAGAGTCGGAACAGCCTACTCTGAAGCCTCAGCTTAAACCCGTGTCACTGAGGCGTATGTGGCCGAATTTCACTTCCCAGTTGCGCCAGACGTAGGATCCGGCGCAAGCGGCAGCGATGAAAAAGACGACGGCCAAGAAGATTACGGGATCGTCTTTGCTCGTCTCTGTTCATTGTGCTGTGCGACTTGTTGTTGTATTGTATAACATCCACCTCTTGCTCTTTGACCTTGATAGATGTCGCGTATATATTGAATTTGGTCTCTTACTTCGTCTATGGCGAACGTCTTCTGAACACCAGACATCTTGTGACATCCAATTCGGCAGAATATGGGTTTACCTTCTCAAGCCCACGCTGGGTTACAGGGGATTGCTGATCGTGGTTTGTGATGAATGTAGATTTTATCGTCTGGTCCGGCTCCTGGCCAAAAATGCGTCTCGAAGATGGAAGCGGCGGAAGCGACTACAACAGGCGTGTAGTATTTGACAAGATCGAACCGGCGATACAGTACTCCAGGAAAGCCCAAAGATTGAAGTGAGCATGATCACAAAACGTCTCTTCCTGAGGGTATCAGTATAGGATGTTGAATCCCTTTGTCAGCTGAGGAGAATCCTGGTTTGAGTCGTTGATTGGGCGTAAAGAAGAAAAGCGGACTTCGGAGATATAAGACCATCATTTCTTAGCGACAACGGCGGTCATGATACACGATTGTACATGAGCACTACGGGATCTCAAACTGAAGATGTCGTGGTATGGAGTGTCTGCCACTTGTCAAGATTACCGTTGCCTCTTCACAGATTGCGGCTCGGGTTGTCGCGTCAAGCGTGTCTGATGGTGTTATACTTGTGATGACACGATAATTGTTACGGGTCAAATTCATGTCCGAAGACAAGGAGACGTGTCTCTTTCTCTGGTTCGCCTCAAGCCTGCAATCCTCATGATGACAGGTTCATCCTATCGCAGATGGTGACGTCGTCCCTTGTAGTGGTAAACGTACGTCGTATTGAGATGAGGCGCATCAAGAACCGCATGTGAGTCTTTGACAGTGTGAAACACGGCAGCCTCAACGACTCGGGAGATTGATCATGCCGACTCCGTAAGAACATCGTCATGTTGATGTTATCGACGAGGTATGACCCGTCCATGTCGAAGTTTAGGTTAGGACCCTTTGTTGTTACCCCGCCAAACGTCATGGTTTTGAGGCTTTGAACTGCTGCGCCCCACCTTGCCCAAGCTCGCTCTTCGAGAGCTCCAGGAGCTATATAGAGCTTACAGGCTTCCTTGAACATAATCTCTCTCTTCTCATCGACTCAATCTCACATCTTCTATTCTATCAACTAAACAACCCACCGAATCAATCAACATGCAGAACGAACGCGGCCAAGGTGTTTCCCACGCCACTGACTCCCAAGTCCCCGGCAAGATCCAGGAGAAGGTACATCATCACCACATATATCCTTGTTTGTTTATCAGTCCTCACTAACGACCACCTCTAGGCTCCCGCCAAGCTCGAGCACGAGCTCCCTGACTCCGTCCACGACACCGGCTCCAACCAGCAGACCGGCAAGGTCAGCCACGCCACTGGCCCCAGCAAGGTCCCTCAGTCCATCCAGGAGGCCGCTCCCCAGAAACTCGAGGAGATCCTTCCCGAGAAGATCCACCCCACAAAGTAAACTTTTGCTTCGCGACCATCTTCACGGCCATGATACCTCGAACGAGTTGCAGCGTTGCTGAGTTCGACGGAATGTTTTACGAATTTAAATATGCATGGCAAGAGCCATAGCAAAATATATAATGAAATGATCAACCAATACGTTGGACCAACATCTATACGATCAGTCTTTTGTGAAGAGGCGATAGTGTTGTGATACCTTGCCTGTCGATCTTTCTCGTAGTCGCGTATTTTCATTGTTGTGAACATGTCCATCATGATTTCTCTCTGTCTGTATCGTGTCGCCTTTCTGAGTCGCATGACTAACCTTCAAGGTCGTCTGTAAAATGTCTTTTCGGAGGACAAACTCGATAAAAGCTTCGCAGAGCGCGCGATCGCCCAAAAGATCTTATCGAGATTAGATTCGCGACCTGGCTGCAATAGCGACCCTGGATACAATAACTCAAACGATGACAATTACACTCAAAGACGATTTGTGTTATTTTCTCTCTGCTCATCAGAAACAATGCACATCGAGATTGATGCTGATAGATGTTCAAGTCTGTAAAATGGGCTGTGATCTTTCTGTTACATATTTTTGTTTGAGCATGATTATCCACTAGTTTTGCTGTCAAACGAGGGTATCTGTTTTCATTTCGTTCTACAGTTCTTTCCACTCCATAACAAGCTAATGGACAAATACGACTATCCACAACTATCTTGGAGCAGTTCTTGAAGACAAGTACCTGAGAAATGACAGTTCAGAGAGAACAAGATACTGTTTGTCAATATCGTCGACAGTTGTTGATAGAGCCGCTCGGTTAAGCTTCCGACTTGGCACTTGCAAAGAATCCTTCGTGACAGATCTCTGCCGTCCTTTCCATCGCAACAACAATGCGACGTCTTTGCGCATGCTGTAACACAACGCCCGCGAGCATTCCGTTCTCATACTCATCGACAGCTCCTATCCCATATTCGGTAGACTTTAGAAGGCAAGTCGACCGAGGTGCCAAGCCGTGTCAGGCAGACATGCCTTGATGTGTCCGGATTATGGCCGACTGCCAGCACTCCTAAATGGTCAATCACTCTTGGTCAATACACGGACAGCTGGCATCGCGTACCCACACTCGGATCCTTTACTTGGCAAATCGAGGCGAAGTAATGTGTATAAAACCGAACATCATCCAGTTCATCCTTGTCTCTTGTTCTTCACACCAACAACCTTGGCCTTTGACCACTAATACATGTCGAGAAAAAAGCCGTCGTCATGAAGCCATCTATCATGCTCACCTACGTTTTCGCCGCTACAGCATCTGCAAAATGGTGGGCCAGAGAGGAGCCTTCCTGTGCAGTGCTATCTGGATCTGCTGAAGGCATCGCGTACCGATACTACGCCCAAGGCACACCTCAAAAACCTTGCGCGACAAGCAATGACGTTGAACGCATCAAAGCATCTCTGGACCATTCTATGAAGAAACTGGATCTGGACTGTCTGCCGGAGTCTACGTGCATGCCCGTTGATCACGACGGCAAATGGAGTGGCGGTGCTTGGAGGGGCTATCTGCTGTATGGTCCCAAGGACAAGGTTGATTTGGACAAGTCCTGTGGATCTGAGAACGGGGTCGGTTCAAAGTACGGCGAACTCAGTCTCGAGCGCGAACTCGGCCCGTTGTTCAGCAAGTCATGCAAGTCATGCAAGACTGATAGTGAGCTGTAGAGTCGCTCTGTGGAAGCTTTTGAACAGGACCTTAGCGAAAACACAAGCTGTGCCCTTGAATGACATTTGGCCACGACATATGTCTGAGAAGAACGGTCGCCAACTCGAGATGCTCCATTGCATTGCGGGCACAACTCCATCGCTCTTCCTTCGACGCCAGGACACAGACATATACAACGGAAAGTGGAAAGAAGAAAGAACAGAGTTTCTTGCCAAGAAGGCTTACATCAGAAAGTCAATCTCCAGGTCTCAACGGTTAACTTCCATATTCGAACGTTTTGACGTCAGCTTCCACACCCCGCGTCTCCGCGGCGCTCCCAAAAACAAGGTGACAAGTTGAACAGCTCGATCAAAGCTGTTTCTGACTTTACAAGGCTCCGTTGGGTACCGTGATTTCAAATTCAAGCAGAGTGCTGCCGTTCACATAAGTCAAGCTTCCCCTCTCCTCATTCGTGTGATTCCGTTGCTCAACCACCAAGATGCCTCCTATACCTTACCGCACCTATGTCCGAGGCCATCCCGGCTCTACTCAAGAAGAGATTGACAATGAACCTGACTGGAGCTCAGCCAAGCATCATATTGGCTATCGCAATCGCTATGACCGTGTTCCTGGACTCGTACACAGCGGCGATGATTCCGATAGCGAAGACAGTGTAGAGTCTCCAAAGTCTCCCAAGGAGGAATCTTTTCTCAAGGAAGCTGCAGAAGAGTCCGACGAGCTGAAACAGGAAATGAAACAGCACAAGCTGATCAACTTCCGCGAAGCAAAGGAGAAGCAAGAAGCATGTCTTTGTATCAAGCTATTATCTACGTTAGGACTAACACATAGCAGNGACTACTATCTTGAAGAACCGCAAGAGCATCCCAACGGCTGGCGTTATAGACTGAACGAATCCGAAGATTTCATCAAGAACCAACAACCTTGGCCCGCTAATCTCAAACGCCAAAAGCAAAAGGAAGAGAAGGAAAAGGAGGAGAAAGAGAAGAAAGAGCAAGAAGAGAAGCAGGAACAAGAACATGAGTGGAAGCATGGCAGTCTCAACCGTCGTAGACACAACGACGCTTATGCTTCAAGTGGCGGACAAGATGACTCCAAACCGGATGATCAGAAAGGTGACAAGCAAGACGACAGGACGACCGACGAAAAGGACTCTCAAGATGACTCTCAGAAGACCGAACAAGCAGACTCGGACGGAAACCAGGAGGATAAACCAAAATCCGAGTACGAAAAGCTGCGAGAAAAGTACAGCGTTCAGGAGATTGCGCTGCTGCGAAGTCTACAAGAAGAGAAGAAGATTGTCGAGAATCTCAAGCAAAGTGACGGCAAGATAAAATCTCCTTGGGCAGACCTCAAGCCTTCCGATGTGATTGATGACGCAGATCGAGCCAGCCCGGACAACTGGATCCCAAGAAACTCGAATATGATCCGTCTCACAGGTAAGCATCCCTTGAACTGCGAGTATCCGCTGTCGAACCTTTTCGAGACCGGCCTGATTACACCAAATCGTCTCCACTATGTGAGAAATCATGGACCTGTACCACATCTGCTCTGGGAGACTCACGAACTGGACATCGAGAATGGAAAATGCAAGTTCAGCATGGACGATCTTGAGAGCAAATTCGAAAGCGTCAACATCGCAGTCGCGTTGGCTTGCGACGGCAACAGACGCAAAGAGCTCAACATGATCAAACGATCAAAAGGTTTCAATTGGGGTCCCGGAGCCATCAGTAATGCGTTCTGGAAAGGTGCTCTTTTGTCAGATGTCTTGAAGGCTGCTGGAATCGACTATCCTACTAATGGATCTGGCACTCGAAGATGGGTTAACTTTGCTGGTGCTGATGAGCCTTCTGAGGGCACATACGAGACATGCATTCCGTATGAGTATGCTATGGACCCTGTCAATGATGTGCTGCTTGCGTACGAGATGAACGATGTCAAATTACCTCCTGATCATGGATATCCTTTACGAGTCATCATCCCTGGATACGTTGGTGGCCGACAAGTCAAGTGGTTGAGCAAGATCTGGATCAGTGAGAAGGAAAACGACAGTCACTACCATATCTGGGACAATCGAGTATTGGTACGCTTGTTCCTTTCAAAACATCACAATCACTTTGTACTGACACACAAATTCCAGCCCGCCTTCGTCACTGAGAAGGATGGAGAATTCTCTGAAACTCTTTTCCGTCACCCAGACACAGCATGCAATGAGCAGAATCTGAACTCGGTCATCGCAAAACCAGGCCACGGTGAACGAATCGAATTGTCTGACGTCAAGAAGGGACACACCTATCGCATTGCAGGATATGCCTACGACGGAGGTGGCCACGAAGTACAGCGAGTCGAGGTCAGTCTCGACAACGGAGACACATGGCTTTACTGCATCAGACAGTTCCCGCAAGCACCAGTCAGACATGGTCAAAAGTACTGGACCTGGATCCACTGGTACATTGACATTGAGCTTGGACACCTGCTTCGAGCTCCGAGCATTCTCGTGCGATGCTTCAATGTGTTCAAGAACACTCAACCAGAGGTATGCTTGCAACGTTTTCTCGCGTTGATGTTCGCTGGTACTGATAAAACTCTCTAGTTTGGCTCATGGAACGTCATGGGAATGATGAACAACGGCTGGTACAAGGTCAAGCCCGAGATTACTGAAGGCAAAGACGGTAACATCGAAGTTCTCTTCCGCCACCCCGTCGAGCCAGGTACAGGCACAGGTGGATGGGTAGAACCCAGTGCAGACGAAAAGATCGCCAGCGCAAAGCAGAGTGCAAGCACACCTCAAAAACAATTCACCAGAGAGGAAATTGAGAAGCACGACAAGGAAGACGATTGCTGGATCGTGGTTGATGGCAACGTCTACGATGCGACTTCTGTACTTGACTGGCATCCTGGTGGCAAAGCGACCATCATGAACCATGCCGGCAAGCTCACGCAGGAGACTTCAGAGAGCTTCGAGTCCATCCATGATGGTTATGCTTACAAGAAGCTTGGCGGTAGGCTATGCTATGCTCTCAAGACCATGATCTGTTTATACTGACGTGTTTTNGCAGAATGTATTCTTGGTACAGTAACGGACAAGGCCAAAGCACATATGAAGAAGGAAGCAGAGGCGGCAGCGAAAGCAAAGGCAGAAGCCTCGAACAAGAAGACTGACGTCGTGCTCTCCATGCAGCAGTGAGTCTAACCTCATCATCTCACCAACAAGCTCGAAAGACTGATCTCCATCAACAGATGGTACCCCGTGACGCTTCTCAAGAAGAAGAACATCTCCGAAGACACCCGTCAATACACCTTCGGCCTCGGCGACAAGACCAAGAAGCTTGGTCTCGGTACCTGCCAACACCTGCAAATCGGCTTCCACATGGCCGACAAGATGCTTGTACGCTCTTACACGCCCACCGCCCCAATCATTGGTGCAGACACCGAAGACGGTACCTTCGACCTGGTAGTCAAGACCTACTTCCCCAACGACCAACAACCCGGCGGTGCTCTGAGCAACATCCTCGACTGCATGAAAGAGGGCGAGGAAGTCGAGATCCGTGGCCCCACTGGCGATATCAAATATCTGGGCAACGGCAAGTTCGATATTTTCGACGAAGAACAACAATTTGACAACATCACGCTTATCCTCGGTGGCTCGGGTGTTACGCCTGGATACCAGTTGATTGCCAGAATCATGGCTACCGACAGTGACAAGACAAAGATTAGAGTCGTGGATGCTAACAAAGATGAGAGCTCAATCTTGCTGCGCGAGGACCTGGACAAGTTTGCCAAAGACCACAAAGATAGCTTTGAGATACAGCATATCTTGAGTCATCCTTCTGACGACTGGAAAGGTGAAGAGGGCCATGTGGACGAAGAAAAGATCAAGAAGTACAGTTATGCACCCGAGAAGGAGAGTGGTAAGAAGAATGTTGTGTTCTTGTGCGGTCCTCCTGCTATGATCCAGAAGGCCGCGATGCCTGCATTGACTGATTGGGTATGTTATCATCACCTTACTTCTGTAACGAGACTTGTGCTAACATTTCACAGNGGATACGAAGAAGGCAAAGATATGTTTGGGTTCTAAACCAAGCCATGAGTGAGGTGATCGAAAATCGCTCGAACGACAATAGGTGTTCCCCATTGTTGGCACCAGTCAACATCTTAATCAAGCTGCTCAATCAAGCATAACAGTATCCATTACAATCAATTTGTGTTGCGCAGGCTTCTCCATTGATTCCAAGCAAAGAGCTGCGCAGGCAATGCCGTTGGGTAGTAAACACGTGACAAGAGCCTCAAACTTCATCAGAAGGATGACACATCTGACAGCTTCTCAGAATTGATTCCCAGACGTCATGGTAAGCTGCCTGATCAAAACGATACTTATGATATGGTTCAATACTGAACACCGGATACGATAGATTAAAAATGGTAAGAATTAATATTACAAAGTGATAGGCTTACCGGTAAGGCCGAATTATAACATACTGTATCGAGTCAAGGGAGTGCACAGCATCAGAGAGACGGTCAAATCACACGAGAGCGGTAGACGCGAGTCAAACCGAGAGACCGGTAGGAAATGGTACAGCCACCTGCACTTGGTAGCATTCATCTTGCGAGACTCAGCTGCCATTTCGATAGTGTATCGAACATGCTTGGACCCGGCAATGAATGCAAGCGAAGATATCGAAAACACGAGGTATGAGATAGTCCAGTCCACGAAATACGCTCTCGCCCGACGTTCTAATAACAGCCAACCCCGTTCCGTGGAAGTTGACTTGGTGAGGGCGCTTTGACTTGCAGTTCAGCTTAGCCATGCGCTGTGAGCAAGTCCGTTATTCCTTTAGCCATGGCATTGGATTGTCTCAGCACAGCTGAAAACTTATATGGATGTTTCCTCCCAATAGCGCAGTCATCCCAGCAGTTTGGTCTTGCAGATAATAGTAATTCCATTTAGATGGCTTGCATGTCTTGCGCGCATAGAGCGTAGCTAACTCACCGTCTTTTGACG